GTAGGTGTCTAGTCACGACCTATAGGGAGACTTAGGATATGGTTAATCACCTTAAATATCCGCTTACATGACCCCTTATACCGGTACTGTAACTAAATAAAAAAAAAAAAAAAAAATATATATAATTTAAAAAAGGGATTGGCGTCCCTAGTTCAGTTGGCAACAACTGAGCCCCTATTGTGGGTTACACTGCAATAGCCACAGGTTCAAGTCGCAGCTGAGGCATAAAACTAGATGATTTTCATAAGAATTTCATATGTAACTTAATATGTGGGCGTATATACTAATATGCTTTAGAAACTGGTCAATCGACCTGTCGATTAATATTAATCATGCCTAAATACTGAAATTGCAGAGCAAGTGAATGCAAATGAAGCTAGGGATTGATAGAAACTTAGCCTTCGCTGATAGGCTTGTAATGGGTACTATTTTATGTCTTCAATTACAGGGACCCTTACACAAGTAAGAAAGTGATTAACTAGTAATTAGTAGATTGGGTGATATCTCGAGATATCTTCGAGGTGATTATGATTAATAATAGACTGCATTGTACTGCTGCAGTAACCATCCAATCGAGCTGTCACTTAGGGTAGAGGCTGGATTCAATTCCTGGGTGAGTTTGATGATATAGGTATGACAGCCATCTACCTTTCTGAGATTCTATAAAGATGATAACATCTAAGCCTTCCTGATCATGTGTAAAGTATCCTGATATTGGGCAAAGATAATAGCAATTCTGATTGGTATTGGTAAAAACATCAACCAAAAGTACCTGTAGCTGAAAGTGATCTCTTTATCCAAATTTGACAGTGGTTCTAAGGTCCAATGACCTTGAAGGTTCTGCTTCTGGGGGTCGCCTAGGTGGCAATCCTTAGACTAGTATATCGATGTGAATTAAGACTGATAATTGAGTCAGTCAAGATTTTCTCAGAATTGAGTCAGTATTATAAGGTTTCACATGACTTGTGCATGTCGTTCTTTTGCCACATGACCTCACTGTTATTATTGAATACTGAAAAAAAAAAAATCATGTTTGATTAAAATAATATATTTTAGGCAACCAAAATATTCAAAAAAACTATATTATTGAAAAACTAAGAAACCTTTATGAGGAGTTTGTAAATGCTTTTGCATTTCATAAAATAATATATACCCATAATAAAATATCAAGCAAGAATACTGTAGAAACAGTTATCAAGAAATAAAATTGAAGGACAAAAATTTTATCTAAAACCATATTTTTGAATTATTATAAACATCTATTCCTCCTCCTTCTTCAAGTTTCTTTCTACACAAAATCTGTAAAAAATCTATCTTCAAAACTTTCAGAATCTCTAAAATAAAACCTATAAAACTAGAATTAGAATTTCTAAAATCTTTAAAATCTTTTTTCATACTTATTAATAATATTTCATAAAATGTAATGATACAAAGATAATTACATACAAGTCTTAAAAAAAACAAAGCTGAATTATACAAATATAATAAACTATTAAGAATTGTTAAGCATCTTCAAGAAGAGATAAAAGAGATGTATAGTAATTACTGTATATAGCAAAGTCTACTATGCAAATTATATATAACCTAGACACTTGAATACGAAAAAAGTAAAATAATATCATCATCTTATGTAAATCAATTTCGCTTATATTATAAGAAATAAGATGACTAATCACGTGATGAATATTATTATATGGTTTCTATTAAAAATATTAAATTATTCATATCAGCTTTTTCTAATAAAGTTATATTAAATTTTTAGGATGATAAAATTAAAGTATTTATTTGTAACCTTTTTTTTAATATCAAGTTTCAATTTCTAACTTTTAAGTTTTATAGGTTTCTCTTAGTATGACTATAGTTGAGAGAATATTTATAACTATACAAATAACAAATAAGCTAATATCAGTTTCTAACTACAGCTTTTGTTATTTAGTCTTAGCAAGTTTTATAACCTATTCTTAAATTGTATTTCCTCTTTTATAATTTAGAATAAAATTAATGTATTTCTATATATTTAATCTTGAATTTTTAGATTACAATTTAAAAATAAAATTATAATCATTATAAAAAAGTTATTATTGATTTTTTCTGACAAAAAATTTATAATAGTGTTTATAAATTTTTCAAAATTTAGCCTTAATAATCTTTACTATTATTGGCAAAAATTTCATTACTTTAAGATATGAAACAAAAAATTTTTGCTCATTAATTTTAAAAATGTCATAATTTTTAAAATATTAAAATAAATAAGGGAATTAATCAAAATAAAGTGAAAATAAGCAGTAAAAATATTCTAATTTTTGATGAATTTGATATTTTTAAAGAAAAATAATAAAAGTAATGATGAATTAATTTGGATGATTAAGAATTAGATGAAAAAGCTGATGTTTTATTAATATTTTATTAAATTAAATAAATAATTATATATCACTTGCTTGCAAGTCTATTTGTACTGGAAATTTAATTCAAATTAAAAAAAAGAAAAAAGCTTAAGCTAAAAAACTTGTAGCAAAATGAACAAATAATTACTAATTTTTTACATTTATCAATCAATCAAAAATTAAAGATAATAAATTATATAAATTTAATTTAGAATCAAAATCTTAATGTAATAAATATTCAAATAATCAAGTAATTGATTCTCTTGAAAATTTATTGAAAGAAAAACTTAATGTCAGTTATAAATTAAGATTAATTACATTATTATAATATCTTAGATTTATTAACTAAAGGTCAAAACTAGCATTTATATTATACAATAATTAAAAAAGGTAATTATTTTATATGTTACATTTTAGAATGAAAAAATTGATTAAAAAAGGAAAGAACATTCTAATTTCTAAATACAAAAAACATCAAAAATAAGAACTTTATTAGATAATAAAGATATAAAATTACAAGTAACTTCATATTTATACTAATACAAATTTGAGTTTTATGTGCCTGATTTTATTGATTATATTACTGATATTATTTTTCTATCAATTAAAATTAATCACTAATAAACTTAAGATTAGGTTTGTATTTTATTATTTGAAGATAATAATATAAAATTAAATAATAATTATATTATTTAGTGAAGCAATAGTATGAAAATAGTTAAAAAAAGGGTTTAGATTTAAAAAATTTGCTAAAGGAGTTTATGTCAATATGTATAAAAGGAATGATATTGTTAAATATTAGAAAAATTTTAGAAAAAATAGAAATGTAAGTAATATCTTAATTAAATTTATATTTTATTATTAAATATTTTTTATTATTTTTTCATAATTAATTTCAACAATAGATATCAATATTTGACAAAGAAAATCTTGTAATTTAAAACAATTCAGAATTGCAAGATGATTAATATTTGCATATTTGGTAATTCATAATAAAACAATTTTTATTTAAATGATAAAAGATATCTAGTTGAATTTCTAATAGAGAATAACTTTTATGCAAAAAGGATAAAGAATAAGTCATTCATATTAGTGATTTTTTATGTAAAATGATTGGCTGATTGCAATTAAATAAAGAACAAAAATCTAATATTGTAAATAAAATTCTACATGAAGTACAAGTAATAATGCATTTTAGAACAAATAATAATAGTTGATAAAATATTTATTTATTATCTAAACAGGTATTTTTTAATATATAGAAAATTTTTAATTATTATAAATATTAAAAAAATTTAATTTAAAGATTGTGGATTATGCTATTCTAATATTTGAAGTAAATTATCCTAGAGCTATCACAATTTTTGTATTTGATAATTCTATTCATATAATGTATTTAGTTCTGATACTCTTATTGTAAATCATATGAATGTAGATTCTGATGGTAAACAATCTAAAATAAGAAATACTGTTTTAATAGTCAAATTTAAACAATAAATTTTTCTGATAATTATTCTGATAAATCACTTTATAAAATATCAAAAAGAATAAAGCAAATATGTATGAATATTAATTATTAAGATCAAATTTGAAAGGTTATTATCAGAATAAAGAATTAGAGGATGATCAATATTGCATGTGACATATACTAGCAAAACAACCAGACTTTCTTGCTCAAAAATACATGATTCAAGAAATAATTAAAGCAAAAAATTATAAAGTTATTTTTTATCTTAAATTTCACTATAAACTTAATTTTATTGAAATGTATTAGGATGTAGCTAAATAATATTTAAGAAATAATTGTGATTATATATGAAATAGTTTAAAATAAGTTGTCTCTGTTACATTAGATTCAGTTTCTATATCACAAATTAGAGTATTGCTAGAAAATCTTTAGATATATAGATGCATATAAAAATAGATTAAATGTAAAATAAGCAGAATATGTAGTTAAAAATTTAAGAGATATCACGTAATTTCTAAATCAATCATTAATAATATTAAATAAAATTTTTTAATGTTGATCAAAAAATTGTTTAAAACCTTAATATAAGTCAAATTATCATGTGATTTTTTTGGAAAATTTGGTACCTTAATTTTTGAAGTTATAATAAAAAAATCTTATAATGAATTTATATATTACGAGACTCTATAAAATCATTTTAGTATTTATTAATAGATTGTAGATTAAATAAGAATTTCTAATTTATTGCAAATATTTCAAAGTATTTATTACTTTTTAAAAAACTCGACTAAGTCTACCTTACAGTTTGAATATATACTTTAGAATAATTTGTATATAATTTAGTTAAACGAAATATGATATTATTTTCTGAAAAGTTGGCAGGTATTGAGTTAGATGTTTTTATATATGGTAACTATCTTAAAAGTATCAGTAAAAAGTTACCATTTTGAATGAAGATGTTAGATATTATAATTTTAAACATATAGATGAGCATCTTTATGAGCTTTAGAGTTATGATAATATCAATAGTTATTCAGATATTACTACATACCTTAAGAAGCATAACTATCAGATTTTTTACCCTAATTACATCAAAATTGCTCATGGTCATCATCATTATCATCGTCATTAACATATATATTTGATGAATTAACTTCAACAATTTTACCAACATCAAGAGTATCAATATCCATCGAGCCTGAAGTACTAGTAAGTGAAGACTAGTATCATCAAAGAATAATAGTATTTCAGCATCTATTAAAAAATTTACTTGTAAAATAGCAAAATTTTATTCTTAATAGAAGAATACAATATGATTACTTACTTTAATTTATTAATAATATAGATGAAATATTTATCCTTTCAAGCGTTTTGCAGGCAAATTTGCCTGCAATTTTATTTAATAATTAAAATTATTTATAATAATTTTAAATATTT